TTTTCATCTTTACAGAGAAGTAAGTTAAGTATGTGCTCAGATACTCCCTTCTCAATGTGCATGATGTCTAGATTATGTCGCACTTTATTTGTCTTCCAGTAGGGTAGTTCGAAGAAGATACTTTTCTTGTTCCATCCCTGTGGTGTTTCTTGCCTTCCCTTAACTTTTCTGAAAGTCACATTATTTTTATCATTCCACTGAGCAAGTATATCCTCTCCGGATAATGGGTCTGGACGCGGGCGATTCTCTTTAGTACCATCAAAGTGGATGATGTCATCTCTGTATGGATGATTTTCATCCAACATGCACCGATGGCCGCAATAACAAGTCTTATTGCTAAAGGGTAGTCTTCTCGATGTTGTCTGGAGATGACAGTAAGGACATGCAGTGCAACCATGTACAGACCAACCAGATAGCATTCCATACGCAGGAAAATCATTGATTGTCCACATTAAGGCTACATGCATGGTGAAGTTTGTCCCCGTGTCTGTATCATATGTATCCACATCATCAATGAATAAAGACCTTAACTCTTCGATAAGAGGTCGAAGATAGACGTTAATATTATTTCCCAGTGACTTTGGACCATCAATAAGAAGAGGCATCATGAAATATGATTGGTCCATAGCCAACCAGGGTGAGAGATTATAAACCATCATCATAACGGGCCATGTGCTGTGAGGATTGCCCTTAAAGCTGAAGGGGCAAAAACCATCACTAGCTAATCCCATCTTGATATTACGAGGTTCCTGACTAAATGTTGGTTGCCTACTATCAAAATCCTTCCATGCAAGCGTATCTCTAGGATGACTCATTCGTCTATTTTCACTTGGACGTGCACGGTGATGCCATGTCATCGCCACCGCTGTCTTCTTACACTTAAATAGCCTCTACAGCCTCTGTGTAATGGGAAAATATCGTACTATCTTGATAGGTATATCCTTCTTTTGACTATACACTTTCTTCTTATATCTAGCCTCTCGACAAGTAGGACACTTCATCTTATCTGAATTTTCTTTACAGTAAATTATACAATCATTAGGATATGCATGTATCATCTCACACTTCAGACCCAGATTAGACATTATCTTTTGAGCTTCGTACCAGCTATCAGGCACATGGTTCCCCGGAGGCATAAAATCTTTAAGAAACTTGAGGAGCATCGTAAATGACTTGTTGCTCCATTTATTTAGACATTTAATCTGAAATAGATGGACAAACCATGATAGCATGGAGTGTTTTTTCATTAGGATATCCAAGTACTATTTTCATTTGTTGGTTTATCCAACACGCAGATTGAATTGTTGGGTAATGAGTATCATTTATAGTTCCAACTCCTATTATTCTCTTGGACAGTGCTTTCAGAGAATCTGATTGATACTATTGAAGATCAATTATTTTGAAATTGAATATTTATTTTTCACTTCTTTTCCCTTGCAGCAACTGAAGAGATACCTATTTTAGATGGGGAGAATTTAAAAATTGAGGTATCAACTGGTGCTGACAGGAGTGACGATGAAGCATCAAAAAAAGTTCCGTTGTATGTTATCTTAAACCCATACATTCTGCTACTCATACTGATTGCTTAATGCATCTAGAAAGAAATACTTCGATTAGGAACATTTTCATTAAATAGATCTAAATTTATTATTTATTTATTTATTTATTTATTTATTTATTTATTTTAATTTTTAATCCTAGGCTTGCTACTTTCTTTTGGACGTTGAACATTATTAAAAGAATATCTACATGTCAATGAAAGTTTGTGGGTAACTTCAGGTATTGAAGACATCTACTATGTATTTATATTCTGTTTAGATCTAATGGAGCCCAAAAGAGTTTTTTTTCAAGTTGAAAGATTTTGCAAGGACATGAAGGCACTCTTGATGGAGAGGGTTTATGTCATAAATGTCCTAGGTATGCTTCTTGTTTTCTTAGCTATCCTCTTTTGCGTTGTCGTAAGTTAAGTTTTTCTTTATGGTTAAGCTTTTTTGTATTTGAAGCTTTATTATGTTTCTGTTCTTATTTATTTGATAGTATTGTTCTTATGATCTTATTTATTGGATAGTACCGATTCTATGTCAAGCTCCTGAAACTGATCTCTCTTTGTGCAATTATCAGTGAATATGACCAGGCAACTCTAGCTGAAAATATAGGTTTGGGTAGTCCTGTTTCTTCAGGGACTTAACGTTCTTGCAAGAACTTTTGGGTTGGGAATAAATAATTCACGTCAATCTGACTTCTAGACCAAAGTTAAACTAGTTGAGACTTTTAAATAGTATCGATGATTTAGCTTAAACATACAAGAAAATATGAATAAAAAGAAAACTGTGTGCAGCCGTTAAGGAATAGCCAAAGGCATACACACCACACAACAGCAACAACAATATATAAATTAGCATTCTATATATCTCAATTTGATGTAAGTTAACATAATAATATCAAATATGAGCTTGCTATAACCAGTTCTTAGCTCTAATGGACAACAAATTCACCTTGGCTTTTGAAAGAATCATAGGGTTCACTCCAAACATGTTGAATGTTAAAAAAGAATAAAAAATATGAAAAATTAACAATATGAATATATGATATTTCCCTAATTTGAAAGGAAATTAAGACTTTGTTAGATATTACGTCAGGAGGATGCTAACAAGATCAGAAGAACAACTAGAAGAAGAACCGATGTTACAATATTGTTCACAAAGAGTATAAGATCATCCAACAGACCATCTTAATTACACGCCAACAAAAAGAAGTGCCATTTTTTTCAAAGATGAGAGGGGCTGAAAAAAACAATTCGGAAGATTAAAGGTATATATATCAGCAAATCATCGAATTTTATGCTAAACTTGCAAATACGGTGGATTTGAGTTAATACTAAAAACACTAGGAAAAAAATTCATTTTACTTGATTTATTTTTGCTAGTCATTAATCAATTGATGGTATGAAATATGTATGATTGGAGAAAAATATAAACACGTCTCTTCCTCAATCTCGAAACTAAATCTCAAAAATTAAAACAGGAAATGAAAATCGATTCTTAATTTTTCACATCAAAATTGCTCTTCGAGGACCTGAGGAGGAGGCGGTGGAGGCACACGGCAGAGGAGGAGGTGATGGAGGCACGTGGCGGAGGAGGAGGCGATGAGAGCGGCGCAAAGATGAGTGGCAGAGGATCGCAAGGGGTGACGAAGATGAGTCGGTGGTGCGTCAGGCTAAGATGAGGCGGAGGCGAAGATTTGAGTGTTCTGGAGTAGATGAGAGAGGTGAGGGCGAAGATCACGAGTACGAGTAGATGAGGTGCCGCGCGGGTGAAATTTGGGGAGGACGCGCGGGTGAAATTTGGGGATTTGGGGATATCGATGAAATTGTTGGCGCCACACGGGTGAAATTTGGGGAGGAAGCGCGGGTCAGAAAAATTCCTGGCAAATTTTTTTAACCCTAACATAACTCTCAAACGGTTTTAACCCGTTTGGGCTCAAATATCCCAAACAGTTTAACCCGTTTAGAAGCGTCGTTTGGGATTATTTAATAGCCCAAACGGTTGTAACCGTTTGGAATAATTAACCCAAACGGTTTAAACCATTTGGGCTATTTCGACTTGTCCAAACGATTCTAATAACCGTTTGGGCAGACCAGTTTTGTACTATTGGATGCCTGTTTAAATTTTGGTTGGGCCTTTGTGTAGTACTAAAATGCTGAACCCAAGACCATGTAACAGGGGTACAAGCCTAACTCAGGTAGACCTGAGTAACTTCCGCAACAACCTAGCGTGGTTCGGAGATCCCTGAATCAAACTTTTCCGAGGCACAAGGACCAAAGAGCACTGTTGTACACCAGGGGGCTTTGAATGTTGTACTTTTGATGTTGTAGAGTTGTGCTTGTATTGCAGGGTAAAAAATAAAAGAGAGAGAGAGAGATTAAAAATGATCCTTCATGTAAACTAATGGTAATAATTATTTTTGCCTCTCCTTTATTCTTTCTCAATTTACTTGTTACACCATTATCAATATTTTTCATCATGATAATTTACATGGAAAGATGCCTGCTTAAATAAAAAATCTGCCATTTACATCCCAGGGCACTGTTTTATTAAAAGTTTTTTCTAAATCAATGAAAAGTATATGTAGGTCCTTAATCTTCTCTCGACATGTACCTCTCCATCAATTGTCTTAACATATGACTAGATTATATAGTTGATATCTAGACATAAAACCAAAATTGGCTTGCTAATAAAGTGTTTACTATTTCAGATCACAACTCATTAGCATATCTGAGAAAAAATAAGAAACAATAAAAAAACAAAAAAGAAAACTCGAAGGATCTTTTAGATTAGAGACCCGTCTAGTGCTATTCCTCTACATTTGAATGTCATCATAGTCACACAATAAAGAGCAGCCACTAATTTCCTCTAGGTTATTCACAAGGTCAAGAATTAATGCTCCTACAAAGCCATTGTTTTGACATAGCACTGATGTAAAGTATCCAACTCAACCCGCACTTCAGACATGCAATGACGCAAATGTCACGTATAAGTGTTTCTGTATCTTGCTTGATTTCCCTATAAACTCATTAACCTTATCAAGTTTTCATATCAACCAAGTAAAAGGTTCATAAAGAACACTTAATAAGACATCTGAAAGGAACTTGCTCCTCCCTATTGGGAGGAGGTGACAGCATCAACATTATATGTAGTTTAAAAAAGTTAAAAATGTTGAAAAGTGGATAAATTACGAAATCATCTTATTGTTTGTAGGAATCATGAAAAAGGCGATCAAAGTTTAAAAGTGACACTTAATTTACCCATCTGATTTTCCAACTAAGGCATAAAATAAAAGTTATATATTTTCAAATTTTAATGTATAATAAATTTACATAAAAGTACACATAATTTTTATATCCTATGACTAATTATAGAATGTTAATAATTATGGGATTGCTAGGCACACTAGCAAATAACATAAGAAAGTATCAAAATAACATAAATGGGAACATTTATTAATAGTTTTATCAAAACTTCACTTGGGAACATTTATCATTTTATCAAAACTTCTCTTGCCTCAAATTAAGATACAAGTACAAATAAGTATACTTGGCAAGATCAACATGAACCAAGTTCCAGCTCCCATACTCACATGCTGTGAGCACCAGTTCTAAAACATCAGATATATGCATAGACTACAGATGTTTATTTAACTTGTAACTCCAATTTCGCTGAAGGACCCGTAAAATCTTTAGTAGTTGGTAAGTCCAGGGCCCCATTCTTATCACTTCTCTCTGAAGATTGGGCTAAGCCATCCTTGCTCTTACCCCAGATAAGTGAATAGAGGCCAGACACAATGATTACAGCACCAATAATTCTGAAACAAAGAAGGAAAAAAGTTAATGATTTTAGCACAATTTCATTATTGAACCATGATGGAGAAAATATTTTACTGATTTATACCTTCCCAAAGTTATTTCTTCTGCTAGAATAATAGAGCCCATGAGAGCCGTTATGAACATGCACAAGGGATTGAAAGCAGTAACAAAGACTGGGCCTTTCTCCTTCATCACTATCCCTTGTATGTAGTATGCAATTCCTGAGCATATCACTCCCTGCAGTACAATAAAGGCCCGTATATATTAGTCATTGCCTAAAATTATCACTGGCTT